GCATCGCTGAAACTAGTCATACCCCTTATTTTAAAGCGCTGAGCATATTTTAAAATAATTTTGTATTACATAAGACCTTAGCTCACTTGTATTTTTGGAACCATTGAAAAGCTGAACAGGGCAAAATGTCTCTATTCACCAAGCATGTATACACAGGATTACTGCACCTTTCTGAAAATGTTTGTTTTGGAAAATAGGCATTCAAGCGCATGAGATCAGAACGAGATTAGAACAGTACCTGCAGTCATCAAAGGTGGTTCCGGGTGAAGAGAGAGCCAGACGTTTACGTAGCTCATCTCTTTCACGGGTCACATGTCTGAGCTGGAAGAGAACCGTGTCCATCTTCTCGTTCACCTGGTGGCTGTCCATGTGGGCGGGCGGTGGGGAAGAGGCTTGAGCAGGCGTACCTGTGTCAGTCAACATGTCACTGGTGGCATGTGCCATTCACAAGCTCAAATGATAATTTAAATTTATTGAATGTATGTCATCTGTGTGTCTGTGTTGGTGCCATTTTATTTTTTGCACTGATCTTATTTATTCTATTTGTCATTTATTGTGATTTTATTTTGCTGTGTAGAGTAATTTGGTCAACTGGATGTTGTTTTTAAAGTGCTATATAAATAAATCTGATTAGGTATTAATACAATGCCATCAATTTCTTTAAAATGCTCACTCAAGCTATTGAATAAAAATGTATAATTGATTGAGTGATTTCACAAAACTGCAGCTCATTTTCTTCCAAAAAACAACAGCAAGTTACAAGTAAACACTTTAACCATCTTGTTTAATCACTGCTTTCATTGAAGCCAACACCTGTTCGCTATTCGACCTCACAGCTTTAATTAACGGTGCTTGTGACTACATCTCATATAAATCCCCCTGCTAATACAAATCAGTTTCCCTTTCAGTGGCATAGAACAGTCAAATCCTCTCTCTCGTCAGTGAATGACTAAATTAAACAGGTGTGCATGTGTTTGGAAATGAAGGGTTTCTAAATCCTTTACAGAGTCTAATTAGGCAGCAATCAATGATATTTTTCTATTTATTTAGAAAACTGTGGTTGGTTCCGTCGAACACACTGTCTTTTTTTGCCAGGAAGACAAGGTTTTTCTTTGACACTTCTACACCTGAACACCATCATGAACACCACACTCACCTAAGCTGCTGAGAGAGCTGCTGCTTTCCGAGTCCGAAGGCATGGTGGACAAGACGCTGCAAGTGGACCCTGTGAGACCAACAAAACCATTAAAGTCAGCTCCAAGTGTACTCGACCATGTCTGCATTATAGTCAGATGATTATCTCTAGCATTGTATGGTACATCAAGGCTCTGCAGCTTGGGTTACATTCATGGGCCTTTACTGAAAAAAGGCCAGCTGGAGGCATAATAAGGTGGGACTTTCCCCAACTTGGGATGACGCTAATTATCAGTTGGCCAGGGAACATGTATACTGACTATCCAAAGCCCCAAAAGAGGCTGCAGTCTCAAAGAGTCTCCTTTTATCTGCTCTGACAACATCTCACAGTCCCCCCCCCCCCCCACGGACACACCACCGATTCATAATTAACTGCACCAAAAGGAAGCTTCAATACAACACTAAGTATTATGAAGAAGACCCTACTGAAAAAAATCAACATAAACATAATTCCTGAATCTGTTTTCACAACCATTGTTAAAATCACTGCGTGTAGAATTTGTATTACATATTTTATATTGTTCTGATGGCAAACACCTTTGTTGTAGAAACTAAATACACTCAGATTATACTAGAAAACAACCAGTTCACATGAGATGTGAAGGTGTGAACTGACCGTTTCAGAAAGTCATAAAAAGTGTTGGACACCAAATTATATATTCTGACTTTTTAAAGGTGTGTGAGTGCAGGGATAACTGACTATAAGTGTGACATACACTTCTGCCTGCCAGTGTCTTTTCTGAATCTACTAGTGGGTCAGAAATACCATTTGTGAAACCAGCTGTGCTAAAACACTGCCCACTTTTTCCAAATATGTCAGTATGGCTGTGGAACGAACAGCTTATAGTTCAGTTACATCAGCAGTCAGTGGCTTCCACCCATGATATAAAGTCTAGAGCTCGACTCAGAGCAGGGGCATAACAAACGATTCTATTTACCCACATCCCTGTACTCGACATCAATCCCCAGCTGGCCGAGTTCCACTAGCTAAAGGAGACTATGAGTTTGATTAAGTTTGGAAGGAGCCCAGCTAACATTGCTCACTCTTTTTCCCAGCAAAGGACTGAAAGAGGGAAAAAAAAGACTGATGTGCCTCAGGAACCATGGCATCCCATGGATCAAGCTCTCTTTGTTCTCACTCTAGCTTAAGTTTCCCATGACTCTGATTGAGCACAGAGTGTCTCAATGGGCAAGGATCACTGTGTCATAGCTCACTCACTTTTCTGCTCTGTGAAGGTCGTGTGACCTGGGCCTCACTGTGATCTGACCCTCCCCACTCAAGTATCTCATTTAAGTTGATTTCTTTGCCACATTCAAATAAAGCCACTCACTCTTTGGACATTTTCTGACATCATCTAAAAATCACATTTGATACCCTGCTCCACTGGTAATGAGCGAGAAACAGTAAACACTGTGCCCTCTCTGCAAACATGAACGCATGATCTGGCTCAGAGCTGACAGCCAACAGTAAGCTCAATATATTACCTCATCTCAGGGGGGAGTGATCCTACAATGCAAAGCTGTGCTCCTAGATTTTCTCTAAATTTGAAACAGGAATGTATTATTGAATTTAAGAACTTGTATCATCTCATTGATCCGCTACAACGAAACACACCAAATCTGTGCAAATACTTTTACTGTGGTGATGAAACAGGCCTCGTTCACAGCAGAACCTCTGAAGTGCCATAGCAGGAAAAGCACAGGTTACTAATAGCATCAACGTTAATGCTGTTCAATTTCAATGTTCCAGTAATCCCATTATTATTATCCTACTGTGTCAAAGGCTCGGTTATAGCCTAGACTCAAAGAAACAAAAGTTGCATTTTTCAGTACTGCTCACCAGAATGAATGATAAGATACACTGGCATGTTACTTCTACTGGTAGATCACTGAAGTAGTGTGAAACACCACAGGCAACCTCTAAACAGCTAAACAACTATTGGATGGCTTGCCATGAAATTTGGTACAGATATTCATAGTGTCAGGAGGATGAATCTAGTGGCACCTGCAGGATTACATTTGTGGTTGAGTGTTAAATATCTCAGCCACTGTTGAATGAACCAACATGTACTTCGGTGCAGACAGACCCCCTGACTTTTCTACTAGCACCTATATAAACCTTAATGTAGCTCAAAAGTATGAACCAGCTAAAAACAGCAGTGAATGGTAAAAACTGCTTGTTGCACTTAAAAGTCCACTGTAATAGCTAAAGTCTATTGGAAATAAAGCTCTTTCCACCAATGAAGGCACCCATTTTGCTCTCCTGCTACTGAACACCCAGTCTTATTTTGCAGTGGCACGACACAACCAAGTGTCAGCCATGATACACACCCTTATGACATGGTGCCAAAACGTTACTGTTTGCTAGGAAAAGGTGAGAACAACCAGTAAACAAAAGGTTTCTGTCAACCCCTGGAGCTATGGTTATAAAATTATAGAACGTCTATATCTATTTTAAAAAAAAAAAAAAAAGCCCCCTCAGATACACACCTTTTTATGTCCTGTATATGTGTGCAGCTTATTCACTTTCTAGTGAAATCCTTGCAGCTCAGTGATCACTTCAATAAGTATTGCTGTTGTTGACATGGAGTTAATTAGCAAAGCTCGACTTCTTGACATTGTTTTGATTTCAGTGTTCATCTAGCTCTAGGTGAGTGGGGAGTAACAAGATCAGGCTCATCTCTCTGCATATTATTTAGAAAGTCCATAACGAGCTACTGCTTTCCTGCATAAAGGCCCTTTCAGCTGTGCAGTGGAAGAACTTGTCTGCCTGGTGGCAAACAGCAGCTCAGCTCATTTGTGTTACAGACTTAACAGGGAGCTGCAGACTACAAGCTACAAAGACCAGCCAAGTACAGCATAAAACCTATCAGTACTCCGTTTCAACCTGGGTGCATGACTGCAAAATGCAGCGCAAAAATGAAAACACTCAGGAAAAAAAGACCCATTCTACAGCTTTAGTTATAAATCATGAGGGCCAAATAAATACATAATTGAAACCTCACCACTCAACTCAGGGAGTATGACAATAGCTGAGTTAATAAAGTCGCTAGCAATGCAAATACTGCTTTTAAAATGCAAAGTTGCAGAAGAGGCACTAAGCAAGGACTATGTACATGTCTGAATGCATTACTGCAACCTTTTTTTTTTTTAAGACACACACACACACACACACTATAGGTGATGTGGCTATATGGCTGCACAGTGAGCCCTGGACATGCCCAATCTCATAAGCTAAGCAGGGCTGGTTCTGCTCTTGCATGGGGCTAGCAACACAGCCACATAAATCCTCTACTACTACAAGAAACAGCAGTCACTTGCCATATGGCGCCAGTAGTCCTACCACCACCACCATAAGTGAATGAAGGACTTGGTGCTCAAATGGATATTGAGAGGTTTTGGGAGATCAATGATGACACAAAATTTGAGGTGGCATTTATAAACATCATCGTTTTCATTTATGAAAACAATGTTTAAATGCATAAATGATCTTGCCCGATATAATATGTCAACTGATTCAAAAATATAATAGTGAAGCTGTCAAGACTAGAGGGATAGTCCAAGGGAACTGCAGAGTTCAAAGGTCTAGAACTACTTTTGGTCAATCTAGAAGGCTTACAACTATGGAATACTTTACCAACAAATTCCAAATCACAGTCAGGTCAAGAAGATGATTATGTTCAGTTTTTGTTTTAGAGATGCTGGTCAACTGCATGATCATTTTGAGAACCCTACTTTGTGCTGCATTTGAACTGTGTTTATACTGACAGGGGTTTCTATTATTTTGCACTCCCCATTTATATCAGTGCGACCAAGCTAAATAACAGCAACACATCTCTGTATAATGGAGTTAGAGCTAAAAAAAAAAAAAAAGAAGATAATCACCACACTGTTTGCATTAACACCCATTTGATTCTTCACCCAAGCGCTTGACACTGACAGTGGGTTATTGACCCTCCCCAACACAAACGCACCCCTCCTGGCTGGCTAGCATTGATTGAGTCTTTTTGGGTCCATTAAAAACGTTGACAAAAGGCTGTGCTTTTAGTGACATGGCAAAGAAAACAAGCACAGCGATATCAGTGTAAACAAGCATTAGGTCACATGATTGTGCAGCCCTCTCTCTTAACACTTGCCCAAAGGAAAAGTCATACCCTTCATCAAGCTGTCATATTGTCAATACCCCTCAGATTAGTTAGATCATGCTCTGAGCAGGGTCGAAAACAGATGGGATCATAACCCAAATAAAGGACATTAAACACCGCAGTAATAAAGATGCTTAGTAAAGTTATTTTATCCGTGATCCTTTGTTCTTACTTTCCAGCACACTGACGCAAAATGTCATTGTTAAAACCAGCTCAATAGAAACTAACACCATGATTGCAGTTCTCACCGGTTGTATGATCCACTGGTCCGATGCCATTCAGCAACACAGAGTGCAAGTGGGGGTGGGTCTTCTCCAGGACCGTGCAAAACTCTGCGAAATAGTCTCTGTCCTTACTTATCAGTATCTTCAGGAGAAGGTCCACTTTTTCCGAGTTGGATGAGCAGTTGTGTCCCAGCTCATAGCGTTCAGACTGGCTAAGGGTCCCGCAGTGTGCCAAAACATCCACAACTCGGTCAGCATCTGTTATCGACTCCACTAAATTCGGATAACATTTCTCCAACAACTCTTTATGCCTGGGTTCCATCTCTCCTACTTCTGTTCCTCCTCCCCCTTCGCTTTAACCGAACCAGATTCGGGACAAATCCAGCTTCTCAGTCTTTTTGGGAGCCAACTTAACTTCGGACCACTGTCGTGACTCCATGGAAACTATCCCGCTCGGCCCATGAGGGACGGTTTTTCAACCCGAATTTAAGGATACACAAGAAGTAGCCATATTTGTTGCTCAAGGCTGTTGACTGCGCGAAGATGACAACACGTTTTCCCAACCGCCGCTCCGTCCTTCCTGAAAAGAGACGTCTCTGCCTCGCCAAGCGCTGCTCTGCAGACGTTACAGAGGCATTGTCGCCCTAAAATTAAGTACTTTCTACATGTTCAAAAGTGTAAAAACTCTTCAGGAGACCTCTACGTGAGACCACAAACTCCGCCATGTCTCACTATCCAAGAAGCTGTAGCCCTGTGCCAATCATATTGACATGTTAGGTAAACGTGGGCGGGGCTTTGTTTGTAGACGCACCTGGCTCCCCTCTGCTCTAATTACTATTACAAAAATGACAGAATGGTCAGCTGCTTTAATATTAGATGTTGGTAATACTTCCACGATATTATTTCAGGGCATTATGGAGCATCTATGGTGTTCAGTCAGCATGAAGTACTCCATTACAAGTAAACAAGTTTTTAAAAGTATGCATTTAAAAGTAGCCTACTCATTCTGTATTAATATGGCCCCTTCCTTTATATGCCTGTTATGTTACTGGATTATTGTTACTTACATAAAGTTCAAGTAATTTGGGGTATTTTAAGAATTTAAGTACTTTTAACAGCACATTACATGTAATATGCTCATCATATGTTTTGTAGGATTATTCTGTGAAGTAACTAGGTCAGCAGCCCAACAAAAGCTGTCAGAAATTTAATGGAGTAAAAAATATTTCTGTCTGAATTATTGTGAAGTATAAAATAGCATGTCAAGTACATTAATATATGTACTGAACTACAGCACTTGAGTAAATGATTACAATAACATTAATGTGTTCAGTAGTCAGGTGAGACTAAATGTGTTAATGTACTTTGAGCTTGTTTGGCATAATTATTGACACTATGTTATTAAGGGGCTTCAGAGCATTGCCTTTATAATGATTGTGACTCATCAGGAGCTACTAGCTGGAGTACTCTGGACCTTGCTTTAAGGCTCTGGAAACCAAATGTTACTTAACAGCACATTCTTAATTGAACGGTTGAGGACAACCTACAGCAAATCAACAAAAAAGGTCAATACTGTTATAGATCATCTGTAAAACAGTGTTATCATTAGAGGCCAGTGATGGGGATGTAAATTAAGGTGAAATCTGAGCTGATCGCATCAAATTCACTGAACTGGATTTTTCATTCATATTATGTAGAATTTGTTATGAAACAAACCTTTCCTGGTCAAAGTGTTGGTGCTTCCTTTTGGTATTTAATTTTTTATTATTCATGCTTGTGAGTCTTCTTCCAATGCATATAAATAATTGAAATCTGAAAAACATCCCAAAACATACCCATATCTGATTTTATGAGATTTGTGTCACATTTTCATGAAATGAATTACTCAAAAGTCAAATCAAAATCCTTTGAATTGTCTTTTAACAGGAGAGAAAGCTCCAGAGATGTGATGGGAACTCTGAAGGCCAAGAGCCAATCTGTCTGACCTTCACAGCTCCCATCTCCCACTGGTACTGATGACATGGACAGATACTACTGATTGACACAACTCTCGTACACACTTGTCTAACATCTCCAATAAGACAGCATAACCACGTGTGTGCTTATTTAAATGTGGTCAAGTGCCATAAAGGGTACAGCATCATGCTGTCACATCCATGTTAATAATTAAAGCACTTTGGCTTGCTTTTACTTTTATACATAGAACACTTGCCTGACCTGATTTCTAGACAAATGGGAGGACCCTGATTTTCTGACCTGTATATTTCAGGAGGTTTTACAACAAACAGTTGCCACCAGAGAGGAAATGCACAAACATCAAATATTCATCCCTCTTTGTCCTCCAGAGCTTTTTATTTTGAGTATGGGTATGAGAAAGGTGCGTAAGGAGTGAAGCTGGGTGAAGTAACTTGTCTACCCATCGTGATCCCTCTGAGGTTGCACTTAGAGGCCAATGAACACTGCGTAAAGATGACTTTAGGACATCTGTTTCTCCAAAATGGACACTATTTATAGCATTAAGAAAAGCTCTCTGTGCCATATGACTCCAGCTGGAAGGCAAGCCTGAACATTTACTCCCCCTCTCAGATTATACAGCAAAGCACACTCATACATGTGAGCTACATTACTTGCAGCTCTAAGGATGCTCTGAGGATAGCGGGTGTTGTAATACAGACCAAGATGGTGTAAATGAGACTGGCTTTGAAATGCAATTTACTCATTGTGTGCTGGCTCAGAGCACAAAATCCAGTCAGTGTTTCATGCAAAAACTCATTATCCCATTCACAAAGACAACCCAGATATGCCAAAAAGTTTTATTGAAATGAGAAGTGGCTGGTTTTAAGTCTTGGCAAACAGCGGGAGTATCAAATGGCAAAATGTTAGAAAACTGAAGAGGCCACCATTGAATTTCAATTATCATCATGTTACATTGCAAACTAGAGTTAGTGCAGTAGATATTCAAAGACAAACTAAGTCAGCAGGCAATGTGAACCAAGAGCCCTCTATTGGCAGTAAACCAAACTAGTAAAGGACACTATGAAAGAAAATGTAAACTAAATATTTACAATCAGTCATTTGTGCAGCCATACAAGTATGATTAAAGATTGTCTGAGATAAACCACACTAACACAAACTATAGGTAATACAAAAGCACAAATGATCTGTGTCTAGGCTTTGGCTTTTCAATATGCAGATATGAAAATGCAGAGGCATGATTTGAAAGGTTTACATTTCAAGAGTAAAGTTCTATAAAGATTATATAAATGATATAAAGTGAACAGCTAATTTGCATAGACCTTCAAGCAGAAGTAAAACTGATAAGGGACAGGTTAAAGAGGAAATGCCCTCTGCAGATCTTTATTTCTTACATTCACAAATCACCTGGGATTTAACTGTGAGCAGTTACACACACATCAAATGATCATATCTGCTGGGTAAGTAGGTTTTAATTTGCTATAACATTTCATGAGTTTCACACACTTTTCTACTCTTTCACTTCCAAATAGTTAAAGTAACTGGTGGTGAGGTAAACCTTTATGATTCCTTTTACTGCATATATTACCTAAATTAGTCACTTGCCTTGTTCTGCATCTTTTATTTTATAAAATAAAAATTTACACCAAATGTGGTTTTCTTTAATTATGATTACAAACAAAATTAGACTAAGTTTAGCAGATTGTTTTATTTTAAATACTACTCTATATGAGGGGTTGCCGTGGCTCAGGAGGTACAGCAGATATAATCTACTAACTGTAGGTAGAAAGTGTCCTTGGGCAAGACACCGCCTCTGGTGAACGGCCAATGGGCTTTCAGTGTGCAGAAAAAGCTATATAAAGACCATTTATGATTGATAGTTATTTTAGTAATACAATACAGTTAGCTTTTAATTAAGTATAAAATTGTCAAGCACCCACATCTTTAGCACTCTACCATTTGTCCAATAACAATAAAGCAATCTACTGAAATTGTATATTCATATTAGTATAGATTACTATTTGGCAATTACACAATAGCAAAAAAGTAATGCAAATTTAACGTTGATTTCTTATTGTCACAGGAAGCGTTACAATAGCTGCATGCATCAGATAGTGGTGATATAAAGTACTATAACATTCTTCAGTGTGACCGTATATATAGCTTCCTTATGAGAGGCTGTCTTCCTTTCCTTTTAGTCATTGCCTCCACAGAGCTTCAGCAGCAGCTTCTCATAGTCCCCGGAGGTATCACCCTGAAACACAGACAAATGTATCACATAAAGAATAAACATGAATGAAAATGTGAGTATCTTAACAGCACGACTGGTTGGACTTACTGCGATGTCAGTGTACAGTGATTTTCCGTATTTCTTCTTATACTCCTGTCTGATGTCCAGCATGTCTATCTCAGAGCGGGACACCATGATGCGGATGAGGGTCTGATCCTTGGTCCCTGCGCCCTGTCAACACATCACAATATGGCACTTTATTTATTTATTCTCCTCTGTCCCTCCACAACATCTTAGCAGGAAAAATGTGGCTTTAATAATTAGAATAAAATGTGATTAACAACACCTGTACCTTCATGGCCTTATTGAGTCTTTCGGCAAAGAAGGCAGGGGCGTTCTTGATGCATTTCACTAGGAAATAGGAGCAGAAATTGATGTTAGTCACTGTAAACAAATAATATGCAAAGCCAGACAAATGCACCAGCTGATAAGTAAAAACATGAGATAAGAGCCGTTTTCACATATGAACTCAGCACCATGTCCACGGAATCAGGCCTAGATTCTGTCGAGAGTTTCCCTTTCATATATGTAGCACACAACAGGAGACAGTCAACGTCAGATGTGCTCTCTCCTACTGGAAACACTCCATCTGGTTTATGTGTGGGAGGCATAACATGCCGCAGTCACATAGCCAGTTCATAATTTGGACATAAACATCCCGAGTCTGTTGCCAGCTCTTAGTTCCCGAATCTTTTTGTTGGCATCTTCATTGTAAATGACAGTTTTTATTCACCATTGGATGTTTGTATTTTTCTGGTTTCGTGCTGGTCACACGATAAAATGTCATCAGAAAGCACACTAGCTCCATGTGATTACTCCAGACTGTTTTCTCACAAGGGCTCACTCAACCCTTACGCTGGAATTTGTACTAGAGAGCTGGCAGGGTAAAGTCAGCTTAAGGTCTGGGTCAGCTGAATCGGGACATTTGCATTCTCACATACCGCTCCTCCAAGTAATCCCTCAAGAATTTCAGGGTTCCACTGCATGTCTGAAAGGGGCTAAGGAGATTGGTGCAAAAGGTTGGTTAAAACTAAAAGGCTGACAGATCGATATGTGGTGGATTTTTTGAACATTTTCCATTTTTAGAATGACACAGAAATGTCCACCCTTAAGTATTCTAATCCATCAATTGCTTTTCAGGTCAAATGGCAGACTGTTTGCATCTGCAAGATATTTTAGCCCTTCCAGGAAATCCTTGCAAAATGAACATCTTGTTGAATGATTTCAATATATAATTTAAGACTCAACATGTCTTTGGAAAGCTGCTTCACTTTGTTTGAGCTCTGGAAAAGAACATACCCACAGACACCATGCCATGCTCCAAATCGCCATGCATTTCACTGCATATGCTCTTCTCAATGTCTTTCCCAGTCATTTTCTGGTACTCCTGGAAGACTTGGGGAGAAAAAAAGGCAAGCATTACAAGCAAAATAGTTAAAATATTTGAAAACGTATGTACTAAAATGTCAGTGGAGAAAAGGGAAAAGTCTCATGGGGAACAAAGAGATGGAGGATGATAAACTTTGTGGAAGTACAACAAAGTTGAAATAACACACCTGCCTGAAGGTGGCTCCTGCTGCGAGCACACAGGATAGCGTTAAACTGAGACTCATCAGTTCCCAGCTTATGTTCTCCAGCAGCATACAGTTTCTGTTACACACACACACACATACACACATCCATCAAAAAAAGAAACAGGATCAGACTTGCCTATTACTTTTCAAGAACGCTACAGCACTAGAGCCACTTTAAAGCAGTACCTGAGCATCCTGTTTGGCCAGGTTGCTGTCAACATTCTCCCTTTCATCACGACTTCCCTAGATGGAGAAAGACAATGTTAATGTACTAAACAAACATTAAATAGGTGGAGTACACTGGCAAAGTTAATACTTCAAAATTCCTTTGAGTTTTTGGAAGCATTCATTGTGAAATAAATATTTTGTGCGGCGGTTACCTGACAGAGAGAAACCAGAAGTCTTCGAAAGTGACCGGAAGTATCGTGCATGATGGAGTCCTCCAGGCTCTTCCCGTACTCTGGAAGGAAGGTGTGGCTTTTTAGGAAAATATCATTTGAATAATATTTGCATTTTGTTTAGATACCATTTTTCATTATTGAAGTGCAAATTAAAAGCTAGTCAGAGTGCCTAAAACAAAACAGACACACTGTAAACTGCTAACATATAATTAAAGCTACATTATGTAACATGGGGTAACAGTAGCATGAAACTCCAAATTAACCCACTCTATTCCGCCACGCTCTACCTAGCTCTTCAGTTATCTGTCAATATGAAATTAACAATAAATGAGAATGCAACAAAACTTATTGATCAAGCAGAAATAAGTGAAAATCTGATTGGTTAGAGAGGTCAATCCTATTCAAAACCTTTTAGAAGTTAATATCTCTACACTGCTGCCAATGCTGTTCAATGACTCTGGGTGACAGGAGGCTTTGACAGCACCTCTCCACATTAAGACAAGTTTTGGCAAATATTTATACAAGAAAATTATCTGACAAAAGTTACCTACTGTAGCTAAAGGTTTTTTTCTTTCAAACACTACACCCTTTTCTGAAGCTGTAAAATACCATTTCCATCAGCAATGGTTGTGAACACTGATGTAAAGCAATGGCCTATTTCTGAATTATGATCATATTGGAAAAGTTCTGTTTTCCTAACTCTTCAAGTCAGAGGAATTTGTCAAAGTTGCATGATATGAAAATAGTCTGAATTAATATATGTATTATACTCGGTGGTGGGCCGTCAGGGCAGCAAGGCCTTCTCTGCTGGCCTAAACACTATCAGAAGCACTGACCTACATTTACAACCTAAATATTTGTTCCATGAAATTGTACTAATTTATCCCCAACAGTCTATTCTCTTCATTTCGTAGCGTTTGTCTCGGCTGCACCGCTTCCAGTAGGTGTATGTGGATGTTAGATTTTTTTGTCCAATCAGATTTCAGCCTCTATGTGTTGCCATGTCAATCTAATCTGCCCAGGGCCTTCAGAATCAGAAGTGCTGAAGTCTTCCTGCGCAAAGAAAGGAGGATGAATTTCGTCTATAAATAAATAGTATCTCTGGTGAGTATGACATATTTTATTTCATTTTTATTATGTTTTTGTCATGTTATTAGATAAATATTGTTTCTGAACTGCTCCAGATGATGTACATGGCACAGTTGCGGTTGTAGTGTAGAGGTTTGGAGTTGTCTTAACTGGCTTTCTTGCTTTAGTAAAAATGGTATTCATCTTCAATACGCAAAATGCCTCTCTCTTTCTGTAATGCCACACTTTGTTATGCTGTGTTTTTGTATAATATTGGTGGTTTCTATAATTGTGACGTACAGTGGTGGTATTAAGAAGTGAATTAAGTTAGGTAAGTGCCCACTGAAGGCCCAGGTACCAAATGCACGGCCCGCCACTGATTATGCTTATACAACTAATTGTATACTATTTCAAAATATTTATAATGGGCCAAAGACAATGTCATACAATATAAGATGACATTACTAAAATTCAGTTGTGGAAAGCATAAGAACTCAAATTTCAATGTCACAATTCACAAATATTCTCTCACACTGGAGAACAGATAGTTACAGAGCCATTGTTCCTGTTACAAAAATTTGACTTGAGGTATTAAAATCTGCACTCACCGGCTTTGTAAATTCGGTTGATTTCTTGAATCTCCGCATTGGAACGCGAGGAAAGAATCTCAACCAGGCAGTTTTCATCGGTTCCTGCACC